ATTATGTTTATATACTTATTATTTATATACTTATATACTTATTATATTTTTATATTATTATTATTGTAACAATTAAAGAATTAGTTTTGCAATGTTTGTGGAATATTACAAACATATTACTAACATTTTGTATGCATATTGTTAATTTACATTTCTGTAATATCTCTGCAATGTTATATTGCAATCTGCAATATTGCAACATTGCAGCAATGTTGCTTCAATCTTCTATATTATATGGGATATTTCATAAACCAATCATATATATCTTAAAAATTTTAAGCGATTATTGTCTCATCATGATTAATCATTTGACACACAATATTTGCTTCAAAAGTAGAGATCCAAAAAACGGGTGAAAAAGCACCTAATTTTGCGATGATTCTTTTTATCTATTTAATAATATTACTCGTTTTTTAAATTATTGATCTTGAAATTGATTATATATATGAGCAAATACTTATATTTCGTTTTGGAATAGGAAAATTTTTCATACTTTCGTAATTTTTCGTAATTTTTGTAATTTCTTCTACTTTACGACGTGATGGAGTTTAATTTCTCGTGTTTGAAAATCATACAAGAATAAAAGGTGCAGCGTTATGAGAAATTTTACTCGTATTCTAATGAACACTAATAAAATATTTTTTTGTAATCGTGTCCCCAAAGGGGACTATGATGAAAGATAATGACTCTTACATATAGGACACGGCAAACATTGCAGGAAATGGGACATATATTGTTTATTTTATTTCAATTTTATTTCGTTTTGTGTAAAAATTAATTTAGGAATTCGATGTTATTAAAACGTTATATTATATCAAAATATAAAAACTAAAAGAAGTATTAAAAATGACTAAAAGATATCCAAAAAAATCATCCTTTATTATATGGATATAATTATTATATGGATAAGACTATATAAGACTATATAAGATGACTAGCAATGCGAAATTTGTCGTCTTATATATTGCTGAAAAATTACAATTTTTTCTCTGCAGTTATCATCTCTATTGATAATCAATCTCGGATGATATTATTAAAATCACAGTTTTAAATAAAAATCGAATATTATTATGTTTTAAATATACATGTCTACAAAACTATAAATTATAAAATTAGTATCATATTACTAGTTTATTACTCTTAGGACCGGTTGTTTCACCTTTTGGTAAATTTTACCTATGAGGTAAATTTGGCGATTCATGTGATTGGGTAAATCTTGTTACTTACCCAAAGTTAAAATTTACCAGAAGATAGAACAATCAATTCTTAATCACTTAAATTTTAACAGATCCACGAAGTATAAACGCCGAGAGTTTTTAATAGTATCTACTCAGTGGTTACGTATATTAAGCCGGTTCTACATTAGTTGCAAATTGATCGCAAGTTTGTTGCGACAGCCAATATAAAGCCAATATA